ACCTCGCAAAGCCGCCAGCCGTGTGCGATGCAGTACCTGATCACAGAGAGGCTTGCGTGGAATAGTAATCAGCAGGTTCTTCCCATCAGAAGCCATTTCACCTGGCTGTGCCATCGGAAGATCCCCTACGAGCGAGCTTGGTACAGTCCAGCACCACGCAGATTGAATGCCCGCGAACTCCTGACGAAACGGTCCCAATAATCATGAATCGCGAACGCGTCACTTGATTCATCCTTAGATTCCTCACTCCTGACCGGACGACCTGGCATCAGAGGTCAAAAAAGGCTGGTAGTATCGAATCCACGACGCCGGAAAAGCGAGTGAAGCCATTGAACACTCAAACACAGTGAGCTACATGTTCGAACTAACATGCATAAAGACAGCTCTGATGAAAAATCTTCATTCTTCACTCTGCTTCTTGCCACGTAGATGCATCAAGCGATAATTTATCCTCTCACAGCGACGCAGTATCATACCGAGGCAGGTGAGGCGGCTGACTATTCTCTCCTCGAAACTCTTCTGCAAGCTTGCGTTGGCGTTTCTTGTAAGAGGGGCAGACCTGTAGCGTTCTCGAGCGAGGATACCTGGCAGAGAAAAATGGTCTGTAGAAAATCATTCGAGAGTGTTTACTCTCACGCAGCCACGAGCTGGAGCTCCCGGAGCTTTCAGGTCTCTATATCCGGGAGCATCGGATGCCAATTTATGCTCCAATGTATGCCAGTGGCTAGACCATTGTGCCACATTGTTTCCTTGTCCCCCAATTTTCGGTCCGAACACAATTGTCCCTACGTGCTAAGGTAGTGCAAAGCTAGAGCTATTAGGAGCGTATACGTAGTTCGTAATCATAGTTGTAACATAACGTATTCCGATACGTTCTGCTCTATTGTACGTCGGCTCTCGTACAAGGCTATCTCTGCTCACTTGTCGTGTATTGAGTTCCATTATTAGGAGGTTACTATCCCTACACCGACTTCTCCCTAAAGGAGCCTGCCTAGGCGGAAACTTGCGCGCGCGCCCATAATTCATTGCGCGCATTATGTTTCTCTTCGATTTCGGACTCATAATCGTCGAATTATGCCAATCGATTGGGGTCAATCGTCGATGATTAGTAAAGTGTAGGGCGATTCTCGATCTGGTGCACGTGGAGCCAACCTGCAAACTAGTCGGAGCTCTGAGTCACTCGTACCAGCTCGAATAGGTCCCTGATAGTCTGTTTCTCTCGTAGTTCGTTTCTAAGGCGTAGGCGAGAAATTGTGGCGAGCGAGCATTTTTTTGTGGCGGCAGAGGGAAAATTGTGGCAGAAGGGAAAGAATTAATAAGGATAAAGGAATCTGGCACAGCCATGAAAGTGCGTTGTTAGTAGCGCGCGCCCAGCTAATCGATCTCTTTCTGCGAAAGTGGAAGATACAATTCATATTTCCGGAGACCCCGATGGCTCTACTTCGGAGGTACCTGTCTAGATGGCTGACTCCACTACTCTGCATCTTCCAACAATATCTTTATCTTGTCGCTTCCAACCTCGGATGCTTTTTTAATATCCTTTGCGAGGGATCTAGCAAGAGGGAGAAGGGTAGTGGCGAGCTGCCGCCCTTATCGGTGAGCCTTATGGAGATGCCCTTATGGTTGGACATCGCGATCTCAGAGAGGTACGGTATAATCGTAGGAATTGAGGAAAAATGGTATCGGATTCGCCCTATTGCTCAACCATAGTTCGCCTGGGACTCTGTAGCCGTACTGGTTATTGTATGTTATCTCGATGGTTTATATAA